AGGCCGCAAGCCCTGGTATATACTGTTGTATTTTTTCATGACTTTCAGTCAAAAAAAGAAAACAGTTTTGCTAACTGTATTTTTCTTCTTTCAATTACTGGATATAGCTCAAGAAACCAGCCAGGAGAGTTGTAACCTTAACCTCGCCATCGCCGAGATTCAGAAAGCAGCGATGGCTTTGGAGGCGATGGAGGGGCTCTTCCAGCAGATGAGGGAGAGCCTCCAAACAGCGGCAGACCACCTGCACCGCTGTTAAGACACTCTGACACCTTACAATTTTCTATTTTGCACGGCCCATTTGGCCATATTTTTGGATGTTTTCAAAATTAAACATGTTATATTTCTTACAAATATTTACCTCTCTGTGCGTTGGTTTTCCTGAGATAATATGTATTGCTTTGATAGGGCATCAGGATTCATTGGACCACATGATCTTTTTCCATTGCTCCAGAGTCCTATCTTTAGGATTACCAGCAAATGGAAGACTTTTATCAGGTTAGCGACACTGGTTACTGATTTTCCAGCTACACTGGACCCACAGGTATTATTTAAAGTGTAGCACCCCCCAGGCAGTAGTTAGCATGCGTGTTCCTCGCCGAAGGAAAAACAGACCTGGTCCAAAGTCCTCTTTTCTGATGAGAGCAAATTTTGCATCTCATTTGGAAACCAAGGACCCAGAGTATGGAGGAAGAATGGAGAGGCACACACTGCAAGATGCTTGAAGTCCAGTGAAGTTTCACTGGACTTCAAGCATCTTGAAGTGAAGTTTCCACAGTCTGTGTTGATTTGGGGAGCCATGTCATCTGCTGGTGTTGGTCCACTGTGCTTCATTAAGTCCAGGGTCAACGCAGCCGTCTACCAGGAGATTTTGGAGCACTTCATGCTTCCTTCTGCAGACGAGCTCTATGGGGATGCTAACTTAATTTTCCAGCAGGACTTGGCACCTGTCCGCACTGCCAAAAGCACCAAAACCTGGTTCAATGACCGTGGGATTACTGTGCATGATTGGCCAGCAAACTCGCCTGACCTGAACCCCATAGAGGATCTATGGGGCATTGCCAAGAGAAAGATGAGAGACATGAGACCGAACAATGCAGAAGAGCTGAAGGCCGCTATTGAAGCATCCTGGTCTTCCATAAAACCTCAGCAGTGCCACAGGCTGATAGCTTCCATGCCACGCCACATTGAGGCAGTAATTGCTGCAAAAGGGGCCCAAGCCAAGTACAAGCATGCTTATACTTTTCAGAGGTCCGATATTGTTCTATGTACAATCCTTGTTTTATTGATTGCATGTAATATTCTAATTTTCTGAGATTGGGGATTTGGGGTTTTCATGAGCTGTAAGCCATAATCATCACAATTATGACAAATCACAGCTTGAACTATCTTGCTTTGCATGTAATGAGTATCTCATATATTAGTTTCACCTTTTAAGTTGCATTAGTGAAATAAATGAACTTTTGCACGATATTCTAATTATTCGAGTTTCACCTGTATGTATGTGTCCATCGTGTCTTACTAGTGCGTAGTAATTAAAGTGGAACTTTACACATATCTTTAAAATAACAACAAAGGCACCTTTAGAAATGTTTAGTACTGACAATCTACAAACACATACTTCTAGATAATTGCAGGCTTTGTATTCTTTCAGCAGCCTTGTGGGGACCTCGCGGTGGCTGTTTACAGCGTCAATCGCACATCCCCATCTCCTTCTCGCACCCGCCCGGCCCTGCACAGCCTCCTGAGATGCCAGGCACAGCCCTGGTGAGATGCTGGACACAGCCCTGGTGAGATGCCGCACACAGCCCCGGTCAGACCCCGCACAGCCTTCTGAGACCCTGCACAGCCCTATGAGCAACACAGAGTATCTTGCTTCATATTCTGCATTGCTGGAATTTGTAGTCCTCTCTAGCTGGTGGTATTCTGCATTGTTGTATAATGTATTGCTGATATTTGTAGTACTCTCTAGCTGGTGGTATTCTGCATTGCTGTATTTCTGGAATTTGTAGTCCCCCTACAGCTTGGAGTTAGTGGCAGAAATACCAGGGTAGCAGCAGTCACATATGCGACTTGACCCTGCTGCTCCACTGCTGTCCTAAAATCATTAATCTGTATTGGTTTACAAAAAAACTGTCAGGTGACACTGAAAAATCATGACAGTGAAACTGAATCGGTAATTGGTATCGGAGAGTACTTGAGGAAAAGTATCTGTACACGTACTCGGTCTTGAAATAAATGGTATCAGTGCATCCCTACTGAAAAGGTTATGTGCATCACCCAGAAAAGACAAGTAGGTAATCTAGAAAAAGAACCAACGTACCAAAGCATGATATTTATCACAATGCTTTTGAAGTGACTTAAGCTGGTTTTACATAGAGGTTTCCCAAATCGATTATTTTTGACCCTAGTGACACAAAAAATCTAAGAAGCAGAATGGAATAAAAAAAAAAGAAAAAAAAATTCTAAACAGTGAATGCGATTGAAAATCGATTGTAAATTTAACCTAAACTCTGAACACCATTAGTCAAGTCTCTGATAGTGTTATCAAATGTTCCGATGATACTTGTGGTACGAACATTCGTATGAAATTCTGTGTATACCCAGCTTGAGCAACTGAATAATTCAACCAAATAGTGTCCACAGTTCTTAGGTGGGCCAGTCTGGCCCAGTTTACATCTACAGTATATAACTGTATACTTGCACCTGTCTGTTCTCACTATTTGTTTAGGATAACAGACAAATGTGGAAAGTTTGTAAATACATATACCAGTAAATCTGACTTTGCCTATTGCTCTTTTCTAGCCTAGTACTTTATGTATACACTATATTGCCAAAAGTATTGGGACACCCCTCCAAAAAATTCATTCATAATTCATTCATCAATAATTCATAATTGATTCAGGTGTTCCAATCACCTCCAGGGCCACAGGTTCACAATACTGAACATCAAGCACCTAGGCATGCAGACTGCTTCTACAAACATTTGTGAAAGAATGGGTCGCCATCAGGGGCTCAGTGAATTCAAGCGTGGTTTCCCTTGCTACTAAATATTCAACTGTTAGTGGTATTATAACAAAGTGGAAGCAAACGGGAACAGCAACTCAGCCACGAAGTGGTAGGCAAGGTAAAATGACAGAGTGGGGTCAGTGCGCAGAAGTCGCCAACTGTATGCAGAGTCAATAGCTACAGACCTCCAAACTTCTTGTGGCCTCCAGGTTGGCACAACAACAGTGCGGAGAGAGCTTCATGGAATGGGTTTCCATGGCTGAGCCGCTGCATCCAAGCCTTACATCACAAAGTGACTCTAGAGAAGTGGAGTGATGAATCACACTTCTCTGTCTGGCAATGGGATGAATTAGAGCGGAGACAGGGAGCCAGGCCTTCTCGTCCAACATCAGTACCTGACCTCACAAATGCGCTTCTGGAAGAATGGTCAAACTTTCCCATAGACACACTCCTAAACCTTGTGGACAGCCTTCCTAGAAGAGCTGAAGCTGTTCTAGCTGCAAAGGGTGGGCCAACCCAATATTGAACCACTGGGATGCCATTAAAGTTCATGTGCATGAAAATGCAGGCGCCCCAATACTTTTGGCACTATAGTGTAGGTTACAAATATGTATCATACTCAGTTGATATGCTCCACATTTCAATAGACAAATAACAGAACAAATTATTCCAGAGTCATATTTGCAAAACCAAATGCTGTACTATACAACCATCTCCCAGTGTAAAAACAAAATAATCACACGCGTACAAATAAGATTAAGTAATTTATTCAGCACTTAGACGTTATTTTAAAATTTGTGTTTGTTTTCAGGACAGTACAGATGCATTGCTCTCCCTGGGAAGCAATTAATTTAAATTGTACAAACACACAGCATACAGGATCCAATAGAGAAACCCAATTTCTATACCCACTGTACAACTCCCTTAATTTCTACATATTGTGAGACTCTGATAGCTTGTTGGTATTTTAATATTTTATGTTTACACAAACAAATGTTGTTACATTTGACATTTCTTTAATTTTTTTTCAAGCATAGTAATAAGTATATTAATCAATCAACTGTCAGTTAAACTACATGCAGTTACTGGCCTGTGAAAAGTCAATATTTATTTTTTCCCCTGAATAGTAATTCATCTCATCTAGATAATGCCATTTTTTACACATCTGACACTTATATTTCTCAATACATTGAATGAAACAGTAAATTGGATTAATGACGAGAGTGTTTTATCATTCATTAGAGAGTCACAAAAGTTCAAATGTACCACAGATCCCATGAGGGAAAAATTATTATACCATTAAGCAATTTTAAATAATAAAGAAAAAATTACAGGATACAGTAGCCTCTACAAAGTAAATAATTCCATGGGAACTTATTTAATACTGCCAGTGCTGCTGTTGGTCCGATTACCTGCCATTTAGTTTACATGATAACAAGGTTCCTTTTTTCAAGATTGTATTCTAGTTATATTAAGGGGAAACAGCCAGACCTGCTGAAAGAATCTGAGAACTAAATACATAAATCTAGTACAGAATTAGTAGTAAAAATGATTAAAAGTAGATTATGATTAAACAAAATGCATGTATCTTCATAAAAAGGTCTTTAGACCAATTGTCACAGGACATCAAACTTGGAAAAGTGTAACACAATCCTGAACTATTTTGTTCTCAGCTGCTCCAAATCCTATTTTTATTTTAAACACAAACTTGGTAAAATGTGTCAGTCTTCCTTACCAATCCATACATGCAAAAAAGAGACCTGGCTTTTAAAATATTACTACTATAATTTTGTTTCCTTGACACAAGTCATAATGAAGGTACTGATATATATCCAGTTTTGGTCTGAAACCAATCTCTGGAAGGCGATCCTGTAACTATATTATGTTGTATTCCCTTGGAGAAAAAAATATATATATTACTATCTGCTATTAATGAAAATAAAAACTCTGAGCCCGTTTCTGATTTAAACAACCTTGAGAAAAAAAAAAGGCATTGTAGAAAGGTAATCAATTAGGTGGCACATTTAGTAGTTTGCTCTAGCCGATTCTTTTCCATCATTAGTTGGCTTGGTTAGCAGAACCAAGCTTGAACCAACATGTCTTTTCATGACTAAGATCCAAATCTCGGAGTTCAATAGTGACTTCTCCAAGCAAGATGTTCTCCCAAAATCCTTCCTCACTAAGCACAGACAGCCAAATCTCACGCTGCTGAAGATCTCCTTTAGGAATACGGTCATAAACCAGCTGTTTAAAGAAGATTAGAAGACGAGATGAAACCGGTAAAAAGTAAATGAAATACATTCCTGAAGGCAACCATAGGGCACTAAGTAGTATCAATGACCTGGATTTGTAAAGCATATACAATTTGTATCCAGAAGTGTGCAATCTTTTTCATTTTTAAATCAAAGTACTTTGGAAACATGAGTTCACAGAACGATTTCTAAGCAGCTCCAATGTACCCTTGCCAAGTTGTTAAGCCAAGAGACCACAAGAAAGTTCTAGTGGTGCCATTGTATATGTGGTGTCTCCATGGGCAAGTAAAAGAATGCAATTTATGATACCTGTACATGCTTCATCAAAAGAATATGAGCCATCTGTGATAGTAAGACAGGTCCTTTAGCAAAATACTATACCCAATATTTTTTTAATCACATATACTAATTGCATAATTATATTAAATGATCCTTTATTTTACTGCACAGTATTCAAAACGAACTGACCCCTTTCTTAAAATATTGGTTGTCTAGGTATCTTTGACTTCAACACTTTCTGGGTCACCGACATGGAACAAGCATGCAGAATTAGAGCAAAGTCAGAACTCCTGCCCTGCATACTTGTTACAGACCAGTGCCTCAGAATGTCTGTGAAGGTTCTCATTCATCTAGGTCATGGTATATCTGTAAAAAATAAGTCAAGGCAAATGGACTTGCTGTATTTTTCTTTAAGACATTTCACTGGTCATCCAACCAGCTTTCTCAATTCAGAATTGTATTTCTGAATTGAGAAAGCTGGTTGGATGACCAGTGAAATGTCTTAAAGAAAAATACAGCAATTCCAGTTGCCTTGACTTATTTTATTTTTTACAGATAGTGCCTCAGAATGTACGGAAGCCACTTATCAGCAGGACAGCCAGATAACTACTATTTTCAAAAGGAGAAGTCTTGATGACTTCTCCTTTGAAAATAGTAGTTATCTGGCTGTCCTGCTGTATAAACAAGGCGGGGCACTACACATATTTATGTTTCCTTGCAATGATACAATCCATGTTCTCTTGGCTAATTAATAACTGCCTAATTTATATATTACAGAAAAGTTCAATATTTAAACATGTAAATATTCTTCGATAAAAAAAATTAAAACCATAAAGGCTGATTTACAAAATAAAATAAAAAAGAGCAGGGATAAACTGTGATGGTACAACTGCATTGTATATGCAAGCATTCAAAAATGCATTTGTGATCCAGCAACCTATTTCATCTATTTGATCGTACACTGATGTTCAATGCATACGGTGCAATCCTATTTGCGTTTTATGCTTCCTGTTGCTACAAGGTGCGCCAAAGAATGCCTATGCAAAGAAATTTGTAAAAGCAACCTGATATTTAAAAAAGAATGTAACTGGCTTTCCAAGCAATCAAACATGCATGTAAAAAAGGCATATTAAAAACAAAACCGGCATGGTATACTGTTGTATGAAAATGTTAGCATATCTAAGTATATATTATTTGAATTTGTATTCCAAGCACCAACACATGCAGTTTTGAATGCCGACTAGTGCTTCAACTTCTGAGCATATGCAGAAAGAGATTCTTCCATATGCAGCACCATATACCGGGTACAGTTCACTAATACTTGTTAGCAAATAAAGCATTGCACATTTAAAAATGCCAAATTGGCTAAGCCCAAAACATATATATTAATAAATCAGCCCAATGTGAAAGGATCACCAGGTTTTGCCAAGACTATGTCAAAACGTTTCCACCTTGGGTCAACCACCACCAAGTATTGTAATGTGTATGTTTTTAACTATATTTTAAATGAAGATTATCTAAATCCTTTTTTATATACAAATTAATGCTTTAGAAAGTTTGAAGGACATCTAGTGAAATTGTTAGGGGGCACTTTGGGGGACCATGGAATTAAGTTGTATTGTGAAATTCACTTAATATAACAATCCAGATGTTTAAATGAACTGTTAAGCAACAGTGACCTTGTTTTCCCTCTGAGAAATCCATATCAGAGGGTGAGTGCTGGCTTAACAGGCTTTAGAGGTTCTGAGCACAGAGGTGAAAGATTTTTGAAAATATTGTAGCAAATATGGGATTTTTGTTCTTTCTGTTAAATCCTTTTCTGCAGGAGACTGGGCACTAGGACAAAAAAACAAAACAACTGAAGGACAGTCCGAGGGGTTAAAGCAATTCTTCTAACCAACCTGCTCAGTTGTAGCAAGCAGTAAGCATACCACTATGGCAATATGAAACCTAAGATTGGAGGTATCTCTGTCACCTCATATATAAGCCCAAACCCCAGATGGTGATCCATCTGAAAATAGTGGCACTAGAAGCTCCTCTCTTGGAAGCCCCTCTCTTAGGATTTGCTACACGGAACAAACAAGGAAACTGATTTCCTAAACAGAGCCGTAATGTTCAAATAAACTCTTAACAATCTGCACTACAAGTGAACCAGTGATCACCTTTTTTCTGTGGAGAAGTAAAAAGAAGTACGGTAAGTAAAAAGAAAACAGTAAGGATTGATAAATCCAAGATCCCGCTGTCCCCCAGGACCTGGGCTTCAGCAGCCATACCATTAAAGTAAGGGACAGAAGCAGGGTGCAAGACTGGTTCTTAAGACCTGGCCAGACAACAGAACACCTGTGAGCAGACGTATTAGGTCAGCATACCAAGATCTTCTGGGCTACTCTAGGGCCATGAGAATCACTGGGATTTCCTTCATTTTGAGCTGAGGCAGTAGTTTTGGATGTGAGAAGGAACAGGTGGGGAGAACTGCTCCCACGAACTATCAGTGTGTCCACTGCTATGACCAGTGAATCCTGAAACCTGTCCAGCTTCCTTTTCAGAAAGGAGGCTAACAAATCTTCAGCTTATGTTCCCTATGGGAAGCCGATGTCATGGAATACTGCCTGATGAAGGCACCAGGCATTGTCTACTCAAACTCCGCCAACCAATTTTCCACACCGAGAATATGGACCTAGGACAGAGCAAGTACATGCTGTTCTGCCCAGATCTGGATGAGTCCCACCTTCTTGGCTGCTACCAAGATCTTGCCCCTCCCTGGTGGTTGATGTATGCCATCGCTGTGATATTATCCAGACTGGATATCCTGATAGTTGCAGTCCAGTGAAGGAGAGTAAGGAAAATTACTAAAGGTTCAAAGATGTTCATAGAAAGGATTCCTTCCTCCAGTAACCATTTGCTCTATATACTTATGTTAGCCAGCACTCCTGCTTATCCCAGAAGTGTCTGTCATGACTGACTATCTGCTATCTAGGGGGAGAAAGTACCTACACATGGTAAGAGCTTGAGAACCCATGACAGAGATGTCCTGACATGAGAACTCAGTCCAAGGACAGGTTGGATTTGTCCATCGCAAACAGGATGTTTCTTTTAAAGTGTCTCTTGTGAAACTGGGCACCATGAGACTCAGAACTGTTATGCAACTACACAGGGTAGACTGAATCTTTCTTATATTTTCAGGGGCAGGAAAACTCTGACTACCATGTTCAAGAGTGTCACCAAGATAATCCAATATATGTGGTGACCTCTGCACTTTGAAGCATCAACCAAAAGTGATGTTGAAATTAATCTCCAGGTTAAACCAATGACTGTTCTCTCAACAGGAGGTAGAGTATTGAGACTGGTATTATCCTCAAAAGAAGAAGGGCCAACACTTGGTGTTCACTCTGGGAGCAAAACAATAAGCCTAATTGAAAGGCCACAAAGTTATATAGTTACATAGTATTTGGGGTTGAATAAAGACATACGTCCATCAAGTCCAACCCATATAGGTCCACGCATCATCTCATTCTTAGGGATACTGGTATCCCTGGATATTACGGTCCCTCAAGAAATTGTCCAAACGTTTCTTGAACAAATCTACACTCTTGGCTGAAATCACTGCCGATGGCAGTGAGTTCCAGACCTTAACCGCTCTTACTGTAAAGAACCCTCTTCGCCCATTGTGCTGGAATTTTTTCTCCACCAACTTTAGGTGGTGGCCTCTAGTCTTTGTAATGGAGTTAATCTCAAACAGTTTGTTGCTAATGTTGCTGTCACCATTGAACATCTTGTACATGAAAATCATATCCCCCCTTAATCTCCTTAATTCCAGCGTAAACATGTTTAAGGTCAGAAGCCTTGTCTCATAGCTCTGGTCCTCCATTCCCCTAATTAGTTTTGTTGCCCTCCGCTGGACTCTCTCCAGTTCAAGGACATCCCTTCTCAGTACCGGCGACCAAAACTGGACCGCGTACTCCAGATGTGGCCGAACCAACGATCTTTATAGAGGCACAATTATAGACTTGTCCCTGCAATACATCCCCTTCTTAATACAGGACAAAACCCTGCTAGCTTTGTTTACTGCCGCCTGGCACTGCAAGCTACCATTCAGTTTGTGGTCTGCAATGACCCCCAAATCTTTTTCTACTTCTGACTTCCCTAGCAGCATACCCATGATTGTATAGCCTATTTGTTTATTTTTATGTCCAAAGTACATTACTTTGCATTTATCGACATTAAACCTCATCTGCCCACTCCCCTATTTTATTGCCCACTCCCCTATTTTATCCAGGTCCTCCTGCAATGTTATATTGTCACGATCCGTTTCTAGTACCCTCCCTATTTTTGTATCGCCTGCAAACACGGAAACATGGCTATTTATTCCCTCCCCGATGTCATTAATGAATAGGTTGAACAGTATCGGACCCAACATAGATCCTTGAGGCACACCGCCTATATTATCGGTTGAACGATGTGTTTTATCACGTACGTCGAACCCGTTTCCCTCCTGAGTGTATACTGAGGAGAAAAAAATGTTCAGCGCCTCGGCCCTCTCCTTGTCACTTGTGAGTAACTTCCCGTTTTCGTCCACTATGGTGAAGCAGAGAAACAGTTGGTAACCTGAGAAGATATGAACATAATTATATGCCTCCCTGAAGTCTATGGAGGCCAGGAAGTCCTTCTGTTGGAGAGAGGCTAATACAGAGCGTATGGACTCTATCTTGAACT